TGGTTGACTGGTACTAAAATATCGAATGAAAATCATATTGAAAATTTGTATAAAGAAAAAATTGTAAAAATAAAAATGCTGAATCAAGTTTTTATAGGAAAATTCCTCGTGTGTTGACTTTTTTCATTCACAAGCTAAAAGTTTTACCTTTTATATTTCCAGGAATGTTTCGAGATTTTCAAATAAAAATTGTTTGGATTTTACTTCTGAATCTTTCCATTCAAATGACATTAACATCGCACATTTTCGAAATGTTTTCAAAGAAAGTCAAATCTCCGCATTCTTAATTTCTTCTCGGATATTTTCCTTGATTTTTAAACTAAATAAATATTTACTCAAATACGATGAAAAAAGAATGTTCAATGCATGTCGTTACCAGAAAGTCGTTGGTTGTTTAGTGTAGGAGTTTGAGGGTGATGAAGATTTGAGATTCCTTTCATGACAAACTAGAAAATCAAACACAGTTTTAAACGATATGCAAACAAAAATCGAGTCAAATATTTGTTCTCTGTTCATTCGTGCTTACTCTAAATCGTGCTCGGTACACATACACTTATTCGTGAAAACTTTCTCAACCTCACCCCTCGCCTTATGAAACTTTATGCCTTTCAAAAATTTTCCGTGAATCAACAGCACATCAATCCAGAAGGGCTGATTCCTCTTCTCTTTTCAATTTATCTCGATTCAGAAATGCGATATCAAAAAGGTAAGAAATATAATTGCATTGACGAGATAGAGATTGAAAGCGAGTGAAATTGATGATTCAGTTTTGTATGCTTCAGAATACATAATCAGGATTCGTAACTACCTCCATTTGCTTCGTTTTATTTTTATCCAACGTCTACAGAAATGTATCGTAAATTTCCGGTTCCCCCTTTTAAGTATCAAGTTTACTTTATAGATTTCTCTCTCTTGATTTCATTAGTAATTTCATGATGTGTAAGGATAAAAAATTGTTTCAGAAAACTCTTTCAAAGCGTGAAGAAATTTATTAATTCAAATCCCAAGGAACTTGTTATAATTGTATTGCAATCTCACAAAGTTGAAAATCTGCAGCAACAATTTTCTTTCGACGCTCAGAGGTTTAAACAACTTGAAGAAGGAGAAACGAGTTGAACTTGCATAACAAACAAAATGCTAATTCAAGTCCTGTAAAAACAAAATTATTCTTTCTTTATCTCTCTCGACTCTGTGACATTACATGCACAGTTTCTCCCTGCTTTTATTCATAAAAGGTCGTAAAGAAAGATTTTTTATTGCTCACAGAGACAGTACCAAATGAAAACAATATGGAAGAAGAACCCAAAGCGGTAAATCTTTCTTTATGAATGAAATGTAATATTTTAGAAGACATTTAAAGAATGAGAAAATTTTTGCGGATTCAAATGCATCTTGAGGTTTCACCCAGAACCTTTTTATCACATTTTATTGCCTTTTATTATGAAGAGAAATATTTTTCATTATCACCTCATTCTCACTTTACATTGTTTCCATTTCCACTGTGTGGGTGGAGGATGAACAGAAAGGAAAATCTCTTTAGGAAATAATAAAGCATTTCTTTTAATTATATTATCTCAAGAAGTCTTGCACAACAAGACTAGTAGGTAAGGCAAAATGAAAGGATTCGTTTCTGGTTAAAGAAGACAAATAAAGTTCTATTCTTTAGGATGGAGGGAAACGATAAGCAGCAGCTCCTTTTTGGTTGTTTGGTTGAGAAGATAAGACGTTGAACTACCGAAAAAAATAAAGAAAAGGAAGAAGATGTAATAAAGAAGAGAAATATTTAATTTAATTTCGTTTGCCTTGGAGGTGTTTATCCAATTTTTCTTGTGGATTTTTTGGTTGCTCGCTTCCATCTCTCATGTTCTTTATCTTCTGCTTTGAAAACATTTTCTTACGGATGAAAAGCTGAATACGTGGTTTGAGTCGTGGTCTTTCTTGTCGTATTTAAACTTTAACAACCAATTTACCGTTTGTTCGCTATTGATTGTTGATGTGGAAAATTCAAAAAGGAAAACTCAAAGGCAAATCAATTACGAAGAAAGATGAAAAGAAGAGAAAATGTTTGTCATGATACACATGCTTCATCCATTTCGCCAGATGAAAATCAACAGAAAATGTCGAGAAAAAAAAACATAACAAACATATTTTCGATGTCATACGATGCTGAGCTGAAAAATGAAGAAAATAACCCGCGGCCATGTCGTCATGAGAAAATTCAATTTCATTGGAATGAAATATTTTCAGGAAATTAAATAAAATTCATCCATTGAGTGACGAACACTTTAAACGTTTCCATGGTGCATTAGATTGTGTGTAGGAGAAGTTTGTACTGTAAATGTAGATGATAATTTGAAAATACTTTTATTATGTTATGCTGATGTCGAATGTTTGCATAATTTATTACACACATAAATGAAAATAATTAAAACGACATATTTTAAAGTTCTGATGCTAAAATATCTCTACGTGCTTTGCTAACTCTCATTTGGGAATATGCTTTGAAGTCATACGTTAATGAATTTAATGGAAATTCATACAACAATTACAATCTCAATTGTAAAACATGGTAAAATTACCTTAGCAAAGCAACATGGATAAAATTGATTCCATAGATTTACAAGCGAAGCAATAAAATGCTTTCGAATTTCGAAACTCAAATAGCATGAAAATTTATGTGAATTTATGGATTTTCATGGTCCATGAAACATTATTTTCAACTATAATAAAAAAGCGAAACGTTCGCTTAAAATTTCGATTATTCCATAAAACACTTTATCGTAGACTTTTAGGTGGATTTTAATCAAGCGATTTTATTTGTAAAAGGCGTAAATTTTTCAACAAACTTTACATTTTCCAACAATGTTTGTTTAAATTAAGACCATAAAACCGACAGGTTTACTTTTTTCCGTTGATTTGATTTTAACTGAAAGGCGATCATTTAACATGAAAAAGTTGTCGTTTGCAGATTTTTTTGTTTTAATTTTTCAGGTTTAAGTGGGGATGTCTAATTACATTCAAAACTTTAACTCTCTTCAAAGCTTTATTCAAAGCTTATAAATGACACTTGAGTAATTCTAAGGACAATTACCCAATTAATCAAAAGCATTATCTGCTTTCTATCCACGTGACCAAAATGTGGGGGTGTCGAAGTAATTAATGTTATAAAAAACTTTCATAATTTAACTCTCGGTTAAATTCCACCCTCAATTTGAAATATAACGTTCAAGTTGACATTGTTAACCCTTATTTAGTATGTAAAATTGTGTTAAAACATTTATGGTCGTCGATGTTTTGGACGGATATTTATTTATGTTCTTTAGTGCTTCCATTAGCATCGACGACAACAAGTAAATTTTTAAATTCAAGAAAAATCTCTTTCAATTCTTTTTTTGGGTTTTCCTTTTTGTTGTGATTAAAGACAGGTATGGAATATGAATTAAAGGATTTTCAGACGATTTTTCTCGACTCCATGTGCATAACAAGAGAAGCCAACTCAAGAAGGGAGACGATGATGAATGAACAGAAATAAATCTGACGATTTCGTAGGGTTATCGCGTAAACATCTATCTCCAGGATAGCTTTTGAATTATATTTTACCATTCATTTTTTTTTGCCTTTTCTTTTCGTCTTTCTCATCGTGTCAGACACATTTGGGAAAAACAAATATATCATCATGGGCTTGAGTTCGTGTTAGAAAATGAAAATCCCTTCATCTGCATTTGAAGTTTTCTATCATCGTTTTTATTACGATATAAAATTTATGAATAAATCACAACACCATTGGATGTGATGGAGGGTTTGACTGGCTTGTTGGTTGCTTGTGAGGTTTTTCTCTGTCTCTTTTATCAGGTAGACGGAGAAAAAAAAAAAGGAAAATCACGGCAAATAAATAAAATGTATAAATTTACATTTTCATCGTGGGCTTTTCAAAAACGTGTCTCGGTTTGATGAAAGAGATTTTCATTCTCCCCTTCTAGCAGAGGTTTGGGTCATAAAAGTCAAACTCGTTTGATATTCAGAAACACTTATGGTGATGCCTTAAACTTACGAAAGTTGGATTGGAGAGGAGGTGGGTTTGTTATTGATTACTTCTTAATGGCTTTGTGGAGGGAGATCAAGGATATAAATTTTATGTTAATTTAATAGAATCTCCCTTTCTTACACTTTTCGTTTTCAAACCTCTGAACTGAGCTCTTTTATCGATTGATCTCACACCAATCCCCACGATACGATATTTATGATAAGATTGTGAACGAACAAGAAGAAACAATTCAATTTCCAGCATCAAATTTATGCGTAACCAATCAATCTGGCAGAGTTATAACGAGATTTTCATCTAACCATGATATGAATCAAATTATCGCAATTTCTGGAGAAAAGAAATGTATCCATGAGTATTTTATTCATTTTCGATTTAAAAACATCTCAAGGAATTATTTCAATTTTTTCTTAGACTTAAAATAAAAAAATGAAGGAAATCCTTTAAAGTTTCGCTCTAAGAATTTTAATTAAAAACTCACAAAATTATTATGCAATTCTTTTTAAAGTATCAGATCTTTAAGACTTGACTTTAATATCGTGCAAAAATTAATTAAAGTTTCGCTAACTTATCAAGCAGGTAAATGCATTTGCATAAAATATTCTTCTTTTATAAAATATTAGTTGAATTATGGGAAAAACTTTTCACTTATAATTAAACTGTGAAACCTCAGAATGATGAAAAGCTCAGCTAAGCTCTGAAACTTTATCATCATCACATCGCCTAATTAAATTAAATTTGGTGTTTTTAAGCATACGAAGTTGAAATCCTAAGCGAGTAATTGATAAGTTACACGAAGTTGTCTGCTGGGAAATTGAAATATTAAATTGAACGGAAGTAAACTTAAATGTCGTGAACACTTGTGCCAATCAAACACCGTTTTGTGCTTTCATTCTTGTTCAGACAAGTGACAAATGACAAATTGCAATATACTATTTAATGTTAAACGGCAATGTGTGAAACATTTATGAGCAATCATTTGTTCCCGTATCAAAATGTTTTCCATTCATGTGAATGTTTCATATTTATTGTAACATTCTAGTAAACTCCCAGGTACATCCGCTCGTCTGCATAACGTCACCATCTGAAATATCAGAGTAAGCTCATCGCATGAATAATTTCTGCATGAAACGCCTTTGTCGGCAGACAAAATTGAATTCTTTCAGTTGAGCGAACATGAGATTAGCTCGCACCCACATAGAAAATGTCTATTTTCTAATTCAGCAAAAAATATTGCTTCCTGCTTTTTGTTTATCGTCGATGATACAGCATCACAGAGAATTCGAAATTTTGTTGTTTAGCTTCGTTATATCGGATGACAACAGCAATTTTTCATGTTAAATGCCATAGGAAAGGACATTCATAATTTACAATGAGTTGGCTCCCTTTTTTTTTAACCATTCGTAACACTTTATTCTGACCATTTAAAGGATTCACGTTAAAGGTCATTTTCCTTTTACAGACCTTAAGCCCCTAAAAAGCGATCGTTTTTCTCAACAATTTTTTTTTCTGTGATAAATTCTTATCTCTTTGTCCATTTTCACATTCCATTTAACAACATTTCATTGATAGTTTTGTACCATTTTTTAGAGTTAGGAAAATATCCCCACGCCTTTTCTTTCTTTTTAATTTTTCGTCCTTTCTAGTGATTGACACTTTAATACACCCCATGGGCATTTGAAATGAAGAAAGGATATTTGTGTCCATTGTGCGGAAAATAAATACTTTTCAAAAAAAAAACGAGGGGATTGATAAATTTCCGAGCTATTAGACTTTTCCCTGCTCAACATAATCGTATCTAATAAATTTACTAGCATATTTGGGACAATTTTGTTGTCGCAGATAAGATGATACCAAACTGATTTATAGGTTTATCAGAAGAAAAACTAAACCATCTTGAAATCTAACAATGTTATTTAAAATTATTATTAACAAGATATTTTCCATACACCACAATGAAATTCTTGAATCAAATGTCATAAATGTTTATCTTACATCACACATTACATTTTGACTTCAACCCCGCAAGACTGTCACGACAAATTTTCTAACTGACACGAGACAATTTTCTTTAAGCACTCGACAAGGAAAAGAAGAGAAAATAATAAATAACAAGAACAATTCCATTTCATATAATTGCTTCGTAGATAAGTTGGCTGTAATGTGTAGGTAAGGACATTATTATTTATTGCAGCACTTCGGGCTTTGGGTATATAAAAACGACTTTGAGTTTGAGATGAAGGAAAGGAGAAGAAAGTACAAAACTACGTAAAATAAAAGTTTGCCTTACCCCACCGATTGCTGTTTATTGTCTAGTGTTTTAAGCTTTTCATGTGGCATAGGAAAATAAATTTATGACATTATTTTCCACTTTTTTTTCCTGCTCTTCGTCTTTCTTTTTTTCTCGTGCTGCCAACAATGTACTTAACTACGTTTATGGTACGATATTGTTGTGAAATTACCATCATCAACACTCTGAGCTTTGGCGAACGACGAAGTGAAAAATTGTCTAAGACTTAGGGTGAAGTTTTGGGATAAGAGCACTTGAACAGCATTTTCAGATGGAATTTATGTATTACGCAAAAGTATCAAGTGGAGATACTTCTCGTAATAATAATGCGAAGATTTCCTTGCCTTCCCTAGTTATGTTTCTTTTTCTAGTGAGAAACTAAAGGAAAACCACTAGAAAGAAATTACATAAAGTTTTATGCACTTTCTTCACTCATCTTTTCGCAGTCTCATCGTTGGGGTTTCTCCACCCACGCAAAATCCTCTCTATTTTACTTTTTTATTTATAAGAAACTTTTTCATGTATAAATTTCAAAATAATTTTATTTTCCTTCATGAATATCTTCAGCTAAGAAGGAAAGTTAGAAGGCAAAAAAATATCACATTAAATAGCAGTTTGTAATCAAATCACGCAAGACATTATCGTGATTCTTGTGATTTCAGCCAACATCGCCCCAAAACAACCGACAAACTTCAATTCCTTTCATTTTATCCATAATGCATCGACTCAAATCCTTCATGCATTTCACTCCTAACATATCACGCCCAACAAAAATAAATTTCTTATGACGAAACGTCTTTTTGAAAACATTTTCCTCCCCACATGTTTCCAGTAATATGATTTCTTATCATGATTTTTACGAGCATATATTTTTGCTTACATGAAATATTTGAACATTTTTCAGACCTTTTCAGATGTTATCCCCCCAAATGAAAAATGTTTGAAAGAGGTTTACATGTTAAATATTTTCAAAAAAAGAAAGATTATTGCAAACAGTTGCAAGAAATTTATCAAGTTATAACAAATGTGATCATAAATTGTGGGAAATCATAAATGAAGATAATATTAAAATGAAAGTTTAACTTTTAATAACTTTCAGATCACTAGATATTAATTTACGAAATGTTTCATAGTTTTGAGATATGAAAAGTATTCATGAAGCTTTCAGACACTCCATGGATATTCGAGAACCAGTAAATGAATTAATTTCACTTTTATTTTTAACTCAATGTAACTTTATACTTGCGTACATGTCTGTGTGTGTGTGTGTTGTTTGTTTTTCCACATCGTGAAAATTTTCCCTTCATTTATGGTGGTTTTGAATGCACAGACAGAGCGTATTATTGTACTCATAACTACACAACTCACGTAGGTAAAAAAACGATGATGAGTCGAGGACGAGAACGATGAAAGCGGTTATGGAAAATATGCAAATCATTTCAGAATTAAAGAGGATTTTATGAACTGTGACTTCACTGCAGGGATATGTGAAAGAAAAATAATATCTCGTTATCTCATTGAAAAACAAACAGCAATGAAACACACACAAATGTGTGAAGTGTTGATAGAGAAAATTTTTATGTATGCTTGTACATAGAAAGTATAATTGCATCAATTTTAATTGGTTTACATTAATGGAGAAATTGAAATATCTGGAAGAGAAGGAACATCAACGTAAGTTGAAGTTTTTATAAAGATTGAAAGAGATGTGAGGAGAATAAATGGCATCACATGCACATGGTGAAAGCATTGACTGTGAAATTCAATCCAGGAGGGAAATTTCATGCTACAGAGAGTGAAGTTTCTATTTCATGTTTCTTCGCTAAAAAGGAAGACTGGGGAAAGTGCAACGTGAAGAAATTGAACAAGAGAGTGATATGTGAAATGTATCGCTTTCCTTGCCTTAATTTTGTTTCTCTTCTTAGATTTATTTTTGTAAGAAGCTCACAACAGATATAAAGAAGAATTTATCTCATGTTTTATTATTATCTTCATTATTAGAAAACATGTTTTAGTAAAGTTCGTTGTCCTTAATTCTTTCTTCGAGATGAGACTCTCATCATGTCATATCGATTATTTCTTCTTATAAGTTGAATGGAAGTTTTAATCTTGTTGTTCATCTATTAATTATTTGGTCGATTTTCTGTTCGCCTCGTTGACGCGTCAAGATGGTCAAGAGGCATTCAACTTTTGACAACGCACAAGTTACAAACAACAATGACAGGAAGATAATTTATGGCACCAAAATTGCTTATTTATTTGACAATCACAAGAAATGTGTGCTTGTATCGCATTACTCATCTTATAGAAAACGATGGAAAGAAAAAGGAAAAAAAATGTAAGACGATGCGAAGGGAAAGATTACGGATTAAAGTCTTCAATTATCATCAAAAATTACGAGACAAATCTCCTCTGCGACAAGAAGGAAATTCTATCAAAATCTCATATTGTTTGTCTCCGGAGAGCATCAGTAAGTGAAGCACGGATGGATGTGTTTCAAACCATAGCTTGATGGCGTCGAACAATAACATGTTGTAATGTTCGTCTTTCCTCGCCAATATATTTTCCATCATGATGGAAAACAAAAGAGAAAAAGAAAAATTATTCAGCTTTCTGGTCACGACTTTTACAAGATATCGCGATTCCTTTAGCTGCTTTTATTCTTTCTCATCTCATCATCAAGGAGGGAGCATGAAACGAGATAGAAAGACTTCCTTTTATTGTTCACTTTTTTGTAAATGAAAAACACGTCTCGAAGATATTTTTGATGCTTCTTCATGCAGTCTTGCTCTGCTTTTCGTCTTCCTTTTGAGATTCATAAAACAGCAAACTATTGAAAATAATAAATTTGGTAAATTTGGGATGTTAAACGAAACGTTCTTAGACAAATCGTTTACACTTAAAGTACGATAGGAGCTTTAAGCTTTAACTCTCAATAAAGACGAAATTTATCAAATAAAATGTTATGATTAGGAAGTAAATTACTTTCAAAATTGACCTTACTAAGCTTATCAACTAATAATAACATTTTTCGCTCAAATCTTCTTATCAAATATTTGACCTCAAGGTCTTCAAATTTTCTTCTTCTTTTCATATTGGCATTTCAAAAACAACGTGAATTAAACTCCGTCAGTCACTCAAATGTCACTCAAACGTCAAATAAAAAAAGAATTGAATCAAGCGCTTCTATGTTGCCATCGTTTAGTACAGAAATAGACCTAAAAAGTCAAATGTGTGTCATTTTAAATAGCAAATGAATGTTCCCGTTTTTCATGTAACATTCTGAGGATAAAAATATAAATTGAAGCATTTTCCGCTTCGAAAATGTTCACACTACAAATTGAAAGCTTAAAATAAGTGCCAGATGCAAGCAATGGGAAAAATGATGCGCCATTAAAAATTTAACGAAAGTAAATGCATAATGCGAAGGTGTTCTTATTTCAGGAATGCTTCGCTAATTGAAAAACGTAGAAGATATTCGATTCATGCATATGAGATAAGACGAGAAGAAAGTAAGCGCTTCCGTTTTGATCCCCAAGACGATTCATTTGACTTCGCAGCATGATACTTTTTTTTTCTATCTTCTTGCCTTCATTTTATCGTTATAGAAAAGAAAAAGATTACAATAGGGAGATAATTCAGTTATTTTCTTGTCAAATAAGCGAATGATACAACTGTGTGGGGATTGTATATCGTTTTACGTACTTCATCTCCTCCCCCACGGTTTGATCCATTAAGTTGATTTTCCCATTTTCATTTTTAATGTCATTGTTGTTGGGAGCTTCTTTTGGATTCACATGCGACGTTCTTTTCTAACTTACTGAAGCAGAAAACTGCTTCCATCTCTGCTTAGTTGATTTAATAGAAACGATACAATCATCATCTGTATATGTGCTGTTGTCTTTGCTTTTTATTCTCTTCGTCATCTTGCTTGCTGTTTAATTCCAGTCACAAAATTAAGATTGTTTATTTTGTCGTAATTGAAGTTCATTTGTCTGAAGTGCACATGGAAGAGTTGAAAAGCTGAGATTCTTAAACGACTATACACGTTGGAAAATCTTCAAAATGTTTTCTGAAGCAATCTTTTTGTTCTGCTTTCGATGTTTGTTTTCACAGTATAATGACACTCTTTGTCATGCTTTTTGTCGTTGCGAATAGTGTTGGCAATAAATAAAGATTTAATTATTTTATTTAAAGACATATAATTTACTATTTATTGTGAAAAAATTATTTTGGTAATCCGCTGGAAAATCTTCTATTTTCAGGTCAAAAAATATTTATGATGGTGTTCATCACAACATAAAATGGCAAGTCTTGAAACTCTTTTACCAATCAAGTTTATTTGAAGGTAGAGGAATTATAAGATTTTTCGATTCTTCATTTTTATGTATGAAATCTTCTTTTTATTGCAAGAGGGATTTCTACAAGGAATTATTTTCAGAAACAGCTTTATGTGTTTTATTCTTCATAACGACCTTTCCAGCTGTTCAACTTCTTTTTGGATCGTTAAATTCCTTGAGTCTTGAATTACTTCGATTTTTTTAAAACGACTCTGAGATGAACATCATCATTAAACTCATCTATTTGTAGAACTTATTATTAATGGCTTTTGTTGTTGTAAAAATGAACGAGAGTAGATGGAATGATTACAGAGATATCGTCTAGCAAATTTCCAGAACAGTTTGCTGGCAAGAGCTTTAACTTCTCCAGATGTTTAAAATAATTACATATTTCTGCATATTTTCCATCTTTGTTAAGTCAATTGCATAATTTTTAACGCTATGAATCACATTAAGACATAAAAGATTGCACCTGATGTTATGAATCATCAAAAAAACAGATAAAAGTGAAACTTTATTACCATCGTCTTCAACTGTTTTTTGAAATATTAATATCTTTTAATTGAAACTTTTTCATTTCAGCATTATGATGACATTTGTGTGCGGCAACATTTTATTTCAAGTGCTTTTTTGTCAACATTTCGAAGTTCTAAGAGAACGGAAATTGCTTAGAGAAGGGAGAAGTTAAGTCTGAAGTAATGAAGGTTTTTATGTGCGAAACTTTTCTAATTTACTTTAATGTTTCCTTCCTTTGAGGGGTTTTGAGTTGAAAGAATGTGAAAATGCGTGCCATTGCTGCTTCCATGATTAATGTAAATTACAGCTTAACGATCCACTACGAGAATCCGTTTTTTCTTCTGTTTAATTAACGAAGAAAAGACCAGTGAGAAGTTGAACACTCTTCAATAGTAATCAGGAAGATGAACAATTAATTAATCAATAGATTTTGAGTAATGATGTTGTTGTCTTCATTCTCTTCAACCCATACTGTCATCATACCATTCAAATGTTTCGATCTGCAATCACTCAAAACTACCCTCAAATCGACAAGAAAGAAAATAACATCAAAATTATTATGAATATAATTTCTTTAGTCGCGTGATCCAATTTATGCTTCCATTTCGAAAATTCAATAAAAGTTTCCTTCTACATATATTTCTTGTAAGAAACGAATAGCATATGGTGAAGACGATGTGATTTAGCACCCTGCTAGCAGCATAAATTTCATAACTTCATGCTTGACAAACTCAATAATGTTCGACATTTTCGTATTTTAACTTTCGATGCGGTGAAATAAAAAGAAAGTTGTAAAAAATCTAAGGAAAAGTTTTTTTTTCTTCACTCCTTTCAAAGGAAATGAAAAAGTTTTGCTTCACCTAACTGAGGTTTGTGTGGGTTGTAAAATAATACGAGTTAAATTTGCCTGAAGAAATGGCAGCGGAATATTCTTTATGACGGAACTTCAATTCCAATTTCCATTTGATTATCAACTAGAGGTTCAATTTTTCCTAATGCATTAGTTTAAAGTTCCATAACTTTGTCGACTGTTGATCATAAAATCGTTGGACCTATTGATTGTATTGATCGTCTAACACATTTTGCAAAATATTTCTAAGGGAAGGAAAACTTTCGTAGCAAACATTTACTTTCTCCGATGGATAATCTTGATCGTTTCTTAAATCTCTCTTAAAGAATTTTACAGAATAAAGAGAAATCGTTGGGACAGATTGTACACAACAAAAAACTTTGACTATGCTGAAAAGTTTTTACGACTCCAAAAAAAATTTATCCATTTATTGAATGACATTTAAGAGGGGATAGCTGAGAGCCATTTTCAGCTTGATTTATAGTATTTACCTTTTCTTTCCACTTCTCTCTTCAACCCTACAATCCTTAACTTCAAGCGTTTTGTGATAACTTTCATTGAATGGAATTTAAGAGACAAACATGTCCACTCGAACTTCGACAAAAATCAATCAAATAATTGAAATTTAAGAAAGAGATTTGTGATTTTTTTGTGCTTTTGTATTTTAGACTCTTAATCAGATTGATTGACCGAAAACTTTCTAATTCATGCAGAGAATAGTCAACCTAATTGAGATTTAAACAGTAAGTTTAATCAAAAAGCTGAAACTTTTCTTCTTAAATATTTCCAAGCTAAACAAAGTTTAATGTTCAGTCGTATAACGTGAAATTGTTGGTTTGGACGACGAACGAAACGATTATTAATTGCCTTCATTATACCGCAGTTCTCCTACAACCACGCGAGCTTTAGTCACCGTCTTAGCTGTCATCTGTTAATATATTTTAATGTTAATGTATAATATAGCGGAGAAAGACGCATAGTCAGTTTCCTCATAATTAATTATGAATAAAACGTTGATTTTAATTAATTCATATTCGTGAACTTGTGTTTGCCCTCATAGCTGCTCGTTTTTCTGTGGTGCGATGAATTTTCTCATTTCTTACACTGAAGTTTGAAACAACGAGAAGAAGTTTTGTGCAAATTTTTGAATGTTTTTGAAAGACATAAGATTGAACAGTTCAGGAAAGATGCTGGGTTGAGAGAAGGGGATTTAAACAGACATTTCTAATTTAAGAAGACGATAAAAAAGAAATTTGAAGTGGAAAGTATGAAATATGGATACACGAAAGCGTTTTAAGAACGAATTAATTATTCATAAATTTCTCAACGAAAGTGAAGCCTATCAGTCATTGAAACGAAAGCGAAGGAAATTGGTATTCGTTCCCATTATTTATGTTTTCTCCTTAATTTTGAGGCAAAAGCAGATTAAGCTCTGAATCGTCTGAAATTCCAATTTCATCAGAAACAAAAGCTTGAAGGAAAATTGTACAATGAATAATTTGGTATCAAATAGCTTTGTTGCTATTTATTTAAATGTAAAAGTTCAGATAACCTTTTGGAATGTAAATCAATGCGATCTATAAACAATTAATGAATTAGGTTGATCAGATTAAATATCATAATGTCGAAAAGCTATTTTAGAATTTACATTTAGATCTTAATTACTTGTTGAAGTTTAGCTTTGTCGAAAATATTCATGTCATGTTATCTGCACATAAATTTCGAACTGAAAAATAATTTACTCTCAACTTATCTCATTTTCAAAACCTTCCAGACAGCTTCATTGAATGATGTCTAAACAAACTTAGTCAATCTTAACTTTGGCGTCATTTCAGATATCATGACATGATATTTAAGAGACCTTTTTACAAATTGATTGATTGAATTCGTTCATTTGTTTTACTATTCAACTTAATGTGTTAAAGATTTGTTGGCATCTTCTTCGATGATTGATTTATGTGTCGTGACATACTTGGAAACTTAGTTAGAAGGATTGTTAATGATTGTCAACACATTTTTCCACTTAAGTCAAAATCAAATATTGGAGAAACATGGAATCGATATTTCATACCAAACGAGGTGACAATCACTTTAAATGTGTTAAAGCATTAATAAATGCTAACATTCGAATAATCAATAATCTTTTATTCATTAAGAAGTCTTTAAAATCCTTTCCAAACAAATTTATAAATAAAACGTTGCTTCGTGATGCGCGTGTTGGTAGAATAAAAATGATTGATGCGAATCTAATATCTGAAGAATTTCCAACATGTTTTCCCTTCAAGTTTTTCAAGAAGTCCTCAAATTTCAATCAAGTTTCTCCACCACCCTCTGAACATTTTTATTTTAATAGATTTTCCATCTAAATATTCTTGATGAATTACTGAGTGATTTTCATTAGAATGGCAACTCACATCAATATCACTGAAATGTTCTTTTAGTATTCTCGTCATTAAAGTGATTTAAGGTGTTTTCTTACATAATTGATTGTATGTCCCATGATTTTCATGTTCATCATCTGCGTCCCCTAATCATTGATCACTTTTTGTTACATTTTTTATGTTTGGAAATAAATTGTGATTAAAATTCAGGTCATGCTTTTTTGATGTATTGAATCTTATGTTGAAAGCTTATATTAACTTTTTTTTTCGTTATATTATCGAACATGAATGTAGGAAAATCGTTTGCTTAAGAAACCATCAAAACATTGATGACGATTGACTTAGCCAGTTGGAAAGTTCTTTTGATTTCATGGCTACTTTGTTTCAACAAATGAATTTCTGAATCAAAAAAGCTATAAATTCAATTCGTGGAAAGTGACTTTTATTATTAAAAAGAGATAAAAAATTTCTTTCCAACATTTAACATCAGCTCATTCCACTTGAATTATTCAATGCAATCTTTTGGTTGCAACAAAATCTCAATGCAACTTTAAAAATGAACATGGAAGAGAAATGAAGCTTAAAGTTACAGCACAAATGATAAATTCAAAGAAGCTGAAGTGAAAATCGTAAATCGGTTGTTAAAAGCTGAATGATGATGATTCACATAAATCGAGCTATCACAGACACATAAATAAGAGCTGACAATCCTTCCTAGAACAATTTTCATCTTCTTTACACTCGCCATTGTTAGTTTCCCATCTCTACATAGAACAATTGAATGGATTACGAAACTGAAAAAATCATGAAGCGTTGAAGTGAAATTTCTTTTTTTATTCCTGCAATGCATCAAAGTCAAAAGAATTTGTTTTATTATTTTCTCGAGCAATCATCACGATGAATGAAGTTTCGTTGACAAAAGCAGATTTTCAATTTAATTGTAAATTATTTACTGAGTTCAACGATTGAATTTAATTTAAATTGTTGTCTCAGTAATTTTTAAACGCATTTAACACTTCAGTAAGCCTTGCAAATAAAGATTTTTTTTTCAAAAGTTTTCACAGTTTTTGCGATTAAAATGTCAAAATTTGATGAAATATTTGATGACTCCAGGAACATTATAAGCAACGAAGAAATTCTTTACTTAAAAGATGCAATACACATGAGTGGAGAAATCCAAAATGAACTTAAATCAATGTTAAATCAAGTAGAAAAACTTTCAATAAAATTCAACAATCCAAATAGAGTATGCATGAAAACTATTGTACCTGGTGTTGAACAAATATTTCCTGATTACTTGTTGTTAAATTTTGACGCTGTGATAAATGAAGAACGTCAAAAACATGATTTTAACTCACCACAACAACATCATAAACTGCAAGAGATAAATGATGGTTCACATTTTACTAAAACATCGACAGTCAAGAGTGAGATCATCAATCATTTGAGAGAAGTTTGTGAAGAGTCTAAATTTGATGTTGACGAGGGTGGTGGTGGAGATAGAAAATCATTTAATTATGAATCGAAATCAATTGATGAACATGTTGAACCATATTCAGAATTCTGGAATAAATATCAGAAAATCAAATGTGAAATAATCAAAATTGAGCGAGAGCTTCGAAGCACAGAAATAAGAATTAAGTTAATCACAAATGAAGCAGAAACACGCGCTATTAATGCTAATAACTATGCCTTTAACATTCAAAGCAAGCAATTCAAGGAATAAAATTCTGTTTAAATGAATCAAACATCTTCGTTCTCCCACTCCTGAAACATCTTCCAACAATTCCAGTAAAAGTGATTCATTATAATTAAATAAACTGATACCGTTTCGAAATTGAAATGTCAATAAATTTCAATTACCTTACGTAATCCTATTCGGTTGCTTTGTAATCTTCTTTAGTAGATATTTTTATTCTAAAAATAAAAGTTTAGACGCCAATTAAATTTGAATTATTAACAAGCAAGTGCTTAATTAGAAGGAAAAGTTATCTGTTATTTTCCTCATTTCCTTGACTTATACAACATTATGTTTTTCTGAGAATTAATTATGGAAATTGGTTTTCAGAAAGAAACTTTCAGCTGAAGTTGGAATTGAATTGGAAAGCAGAAAGCAATAAAAAGAACTTTGTTAACTTTTTCATCTCGCAATGTCTAATTGGTTGGTGATTAAATTAAAAATGAAGCAATTGTAAACTAGACGAATAATTAGTTCCATTTATTTCAAGTGTTTGTACATTTTCCGGTCAGAGTATCAACAGTAATTATCAATATCAGATTAAAATTTCTTTGGAAAACTCTTGAAATTAATGCTGATGGAATTTAATAAAAGTTTGTGGAAGAGTAAATAAGAATAAATTCCTCAACTGAATTTTAACAAGCGTAGCCAGAGTTATGCCTTGCAGTGGACTTCAACAATGTTCTGTATTCATTTAACTGCGAATTGTTTGTTTAAGTAACTAAAATAAGCATGAAAAAATAACATTGAAAATGCTCTTTGTGAAGGTAGTAAAATGGCAAATGAGATACAAAGCAGCTGCTTGCATTTCCACATAAATTTTCCAGGTTTTTTAACAGCCATGCAAAGAATAGGTGGAGGATATAAAAAACGATCATAACATAATGCTTTGGAAACAAATGGCAGTTCTCGACTGAGTAAAGAGAATATTTTCCTGATGGAGTTTCTCCCACTCAACATTTTAAGGAATCGAAAGAAGAAAATTTCGTATCGTCCCAGAATGAAGGCAAACTCTCGTGTAAATCCCCTCTAATGTTTTGATAAAGCATAAAACTTTTTTTTCTCCCCAGCTTAATGGGAGTTTTGTCGAAAATGCTTTCAATGATGTGCTACATGTGTTCAATGTGAGAATGAATGGAAAAAGAGAAGAATTGCGTATGAAAAGCCATTAAATATTTTTTTTGCTCATATTCTTTATAACAATATTTGGCGTGCTTACCTTTTACGTCGTGACAACCAACAGGAAAACGAAGTTGTTGAAGAAATAACAAGAATGAAACTCGAGGGAACATTAGAAGATTTTGAAAACTTTCAGATTGAAATTAAGTTCGAATTGTACTTTCTTCAATATTTTTTAAGGGTGAAAGATCAAATTCAAGAAATTCAAGATGGAAATTTGATGACGTGTTGAACTTTCCATAAATTATATTTAATTACTTAAATTTTGATTGAAACTGAATCGTGACTTGTCTTAATCGGTATCATCTGGAGCATTCAAATTATTTTCTGTTCACTTAACAAGAGCAAGTTAATCTACTCTGATGTGATTGTTGTATTTTATCTACATACATTATGAAAGCACTTGAAATTATTAATAAAGGTAAAACTTTATTCATATGATGTTCACAATGCTTAGAATTCATCTCTGAAAGGATCTTCGTTGTCCACAAAATATGTCCACAAACAATGTCCACAAAATATGTCCACAAACTATGTCCACAAACAATGTCCACAAAATATGTCCACAAAATATGTCCACAAACTATGTCCACAAACTATGTCCACAAAATATGTCCACAAACTATGTCCACAAACTATGTCCACAAAATATGTCCACAAAATATGTCCACAAACTATGTCCACAAACAATGTCCACAAAATATGTCCACAAAATATGTCCACAAACTATGTCCACAAAATATGTCCACAAACTATGTCCACAAACTATGTCCACAAAATATGTCCACAAAATATGTCCACAAACTATGTCCACAAACTATGTCCACAAAATATGTCCACAAACTATGTCCACAAACTATGTCCACAAAATATGTCCACAAACTATGTCCACAAACTATGTCCACAAAATATG